AAAATTAAAAAAAATAAAAAAAAAAGAAAATTAAAAAAAAAAGTTCCTCACCGGGGATCGAACTCTCAATGTCTAGACCCCGCCACGTGCACCGCCACTCATCTAGCAACTCTACTCGTTGAGCTATCTCATTAAGTCATTGTGGAGCGCCTAAACAACATACTATATATATAGCCATCCGAGAAAATTGGGCAGGTCCGAGCGAATTATGATTGAAACATGAAAGCCCGTCTTTAAACAGAGTAAGTATCAAACGTATTGACATTCCTGAGTAAGAACAATGCAACAGGCAAACATAAAAGTGCAAACATAATAGAGAAACTTCGCCAGGACATGCAACAACGTCATCTAGCGACAGGCGGCATTATTGTCGTCATTAACATAATTTATGCAATTATCTTTAGATTTGTGGTACGATCAATAAATTAGCGCCTAAAAACTTATGCAACCATACTTCGATCAATATTATGTCACTAGATGAGACTGTTACTACATAAAGTTTCTTTTTGTAAAGAACATGGATTAAAATGGCAGCAAGTCTATTGCTTATGCCACAAACCGGAAAGAAGTTAAGAGGTATTGCATGGCCTGCAGTATTACCAAACTACCAAAGAAAGAAGGATAGAATCCGTCTTACTACATTTCGGCGCGCATGCGCCGAAATGTAAAAAATTATATGCAAAGGAAGTACTTTGGATGCACAATATAGGATGAACTGGTAAGCCAGCAATAATTTATTTAAAACTTTACTGTCCCTCAAAACTAATCTGGATTCTACAGCTAACTTTTAAAACTTTTAAACAAGTAATACAAGAAACTTCAAGGTTACTAGAGGATGTTTAGTACTTATATGTACATGTATATAACCCTACATAAATATCTAGGTGCACTGGTGTACCTACAATCGAGAATTTCATGTACATGTACATGAACTAGCTGAGCTCCAGTTTTGGGTGCAAAAAGTACAATTTTTTAAAAAATTACTCATGTATGTACCCAATATATTGAGCCAGCACGTCGGCAGAACGCAGCGCCTGCGCAGAACCCCGTATTTTCGCGTTTTTTGTTTGGTTTTTGGTCAACGTTGCATCAGAATTTTGCCTGTTGCAGAGGATATTCTTTCCGACACAACATTTGGAAACTACTGTCGAAATGCTAACCTTATATGAGCGAATACGACCTTCTATGAGACATTCTGCCGAAATGCTATGTACAACACATTACGGGTTTCGCGCAGGTGCAGGACGTTCTGCCGACGTGCTTATTGAGCCCATACTAAACAAACAACCTACCTAAGGGCTAATTCTTCAGCATTTCATGGCAAATACAGGAAGACATATATTGATTTTGCACAATTGATTGTTGATTTACAAATCAATAAAACAAGGGAACCTTTTCTTCTCTTTTCATATGTATTGGTTCAAAGAAGTGGAGAATTGATTGTCAAAGATCCCCCCATGGCTTGTGACATAGATTTAGGAATTCATACGATAATTTTACACAGTAAATATTGGCAGAAAAACATTGGACTACTTGGGTGGGAATCCAGCTACTGACCAGTCCAATATATAGGTCATACCCAACATTACTAGCTTGTTTGGTTGCTCCGCATTTCTAATGACTCTAGAAATTGTGAATGAATTTTATGGCTTTTTGATGGCCTAATACTCTAAGTTGTAATCATTGATTACAAGTACAGTAATAAATCTATGAACAGACCTGAGCCACAGCCCCTAGCAGCTAGCCGGTGGTGTTAGGTTACAATTATACAGCTTATTGTAATTATAAATAGACCTGAACTCAAAGTGTCAAAGAGTCTCTTCCACCATCAATATGGCTTAAAAATAGTACCACTAATGGAGGTAAGCCAGCTTATATGACAACTCCTAATTGTCATCCAACTGTCATCCGGTTATGTTATTTGGGATGAACTAATCGATGAAGTGCTTATCATCCATGAGATCCATTACTGTGGACCACGTTATTCTAGGCTTATTATCTAATAGTATATACAACACACATGGCCCAAAGCTCAGCTGTGTGCACATAGCTACCGGTATGTCAATGTTTGCTAAAAATGAATTTTGCAAAAGAAAATGTCAGTGGTATACCTCCAACCTGTGTGCAATCTGGAAGTGAGTGGGCCTTATTATTTCCTTATTAAGGGGTTTTAATTCAATCAGTTCCCAGCAATATGGCGCAATCTGTCATATCCATTTTTCCAAAAAGCAAAATAGCAACAATGACCAATTGTTCACATTCCTCTAAAGTATAAAGCACTGTCACATTCAGAAATGGTATGATTTCCTTTCCACATGTTCTAAGTTGACCAGGAACCTTATGAAAGTTGTAAAATACAGTG